GAGTTGTATTGACTTTGAAGTTAACTACAGAACTACACGTAATAATAATATTAATAATGTGCTTGAGCTGTCTTTGGTGTCTGAGTTTGAAGCAACATAGGTTGGTTGATCAATATTGGTGCTTAGAACGACTTTATATAGCACATAAATCAGGTTTTGGTACATATTTTAATCTTGTTTTAAAGAATTTCTTTTATTGTTGAATCATGCACAATAAATCAATCACTAGAGTTTGGTAATAATGCAATTTTCGTTTCAAAAAATGTAAGAAAAAATTGTTAGTTACACATTCAATTTTCCGCAAAGAAAAAGGAAATAATGTAACCGTTATACTCAAAAAAAAATCTTCACATTAAAAAAAAGTCAAAGTTTTATATTTTATATAATATCATATGCTAAATTTTTATCATCGTTATCATCAGAAAGAAAGGAATTTGTATATAAAATTTGTAGTGAAATATTTAATAATGCTAATGCTAATAATCCTGATAGAGAAAGTAGATTAGATTATTTTTTTTCATTAGTCAAGAAAAACAAGGAGCTTTCTGAAAATTAAAAAGAATATTGTAAGGAAAGGTTTATTTATAATTTTGAATTAGATAGTGCAATAAATAAAAGGGGTAAACCAAAAAAATGTAACAAGTGTAAATTGACAAGATACTCTGATAGGTTCTGTGAAGGTTGTATTAGTTTACAATTACAGAGTCTTTCCACCTCTTGGACATCTGGAAATAACACAATTGACAACTTTATTCAACAATCTCAAATGAAATCATCTCTGCCAAGCTATATTATAGAATGGATACCTTTTGAGCAATTCATAAATGTAACAAAATTGATAGAAGGTGGATTTAGTTCAATTTATACTGCTACATGGATAAGAGGAGAAATAGTTGATTATGACGAAAATAAAAAAGGGTATGGAGTAGCATTAAAAAGTTTAAATGATTCAAGTAATCCAGGAAAAGCCTTTTTTGATGAGGTTGATAGTTTTCATTTAAAACAAAATAAACAATACTGTATTATACTAATTGATTTTATTTATTTTCAGGCAATGAATTACTGTAAAATTAAAGCACCACAGATTGTTCAGTGCTTTGGTATAACTAAATTCCCAGATAATGGAAATTATGCAATTCAGTCAGGGGTTTTACCAAATTTGGAAATCGATTCTAGAATGATCTACACAATTTTAATAGGCCCTTGTGCATTCATTTCCGTTGTAAAAACTTTATGTTTCATGTGACTTTACACAAAAAAATTTTGTTGTAATTTTAAACCATATTGTAAAAATAAACAAACAAGTATTCATATTTTAATAATCACTAAAGAGTTTGAAATAACCACCCAGACTTCAAAAAGTAAATGAGAGCTAAAAAATTGAAAATTTGCATATTTTTTATGTTGAGTTGTGGAAATTAATAATTTTTTTATAATAATAATAATAATTTTATTATTAGTGATGGAATACCAAAAGACACAAGCCAAAGATCTTCCATGTATTTTTGCTAACTTAGTCGATCTATACACAGATAAGGGCTTGAAACCATGTGCAACAAAGAACAATCAAACATGGCATTATGCTAGTAGTAAAGCAGCAGCTGAAAAACTACAAGCCTGTCATAACTATATCCCTGAACTCATTCATGTTTCATTAAATTCTTATTCTGTTTGTGAGGTACATTATAACCAAGTTATATCTACTAATAGATTTTATGAAACTCTCTCAAATTTAAATGCAGGCAAAATTGACACTCCTGTTGTAAGAAAAAAAAGATCATGCGGGAACAACTAATACTGACACAACTGTTCAGTTTACTGAAGCAGAATTTGCCAACAATGAACCTGTTCCTATAGAAGAATTCCAAAGAATAAAAAATTTGTTGGAGTTATGTGAACTGGAATGTTGGAACAAATCACAACTTATTGTAGAACTTAATAATGAAATAACACAACTATCACATCAATTAGAAGATCAAAATCATGAAATAGATGATTTAAAAAAGAAATTAATTGAAGTACAGGATCAAAACAAAGTTCCTTATGAGCAGTGGAATTAGGGATGTTAAACAGCTGACTCAACTGCGGTTGAACCGCGGTTGAGGCTGAACCAAACCAACCGTGGTTGAACCGAGTATGGTTGAACCATTGGTTGAAACCACGGTTGAACCGCGGTTGAACCGCGGTTTGTCGATCTGATTTACATAAATAACCAATCAAATTTTAAAATCATAATATCATGATAAATTTAACGATTAATGGATAATAAGAAATAGTCTCTAAACATTATAGTAAACAAATTATTTACTATTCAAGTTTAGAAATATTTGGATAGATGAGATTATCTGTTTATTATAAATAG